GAGCGATCCCGAGAGGCCAGCCCTGGAACCAGCAAAGTCCAGCTCCCAGACACCCCAAAGACTGAATCGGATGTTTAGAGGTATCGCAATCGCACCCGAAAGACCATAGACCGGAAGTATGGATAGATCTGACCTTTAGCCAAGTCAATTCTCTCTCTCCCTCTCTCTCTCTATCTCTCTCTCTCTCTCTCTCTCTCTCTCTCTCTCTCTCTCTCTCTCTCTCAGACTCTTCAGTCTCTCTTTAAAATGTAACACAAGGAATCAACAGCAGACTTCTGTTTTCTCTTTTTTTCCTCTCTTTCTCTCTCCTTTTTTTCTTCTCTTTACCTCCATTGGTCATTCTGTCTGGAATTTGGAGTGCAGAGTATGTGGAGAAAATATGCCACTGGAATGAATAAAACAAAGAGAGAAAATCAAACAAAATGGACCTGCAAATGAGAACAAAACAGAAGAAGAGAAAAAAATGAATGTTGCAAATATACCTTCTGTTAAGCAGAGCCAAAAACTTTTCTTCATAAAGTACGAGTTTTGAGGAAAGTTCAGTGAAGTCCATGATCTCCGCTATTACAAATATGTGAAAGATATGATATATTGCAAACTAGTAGAAAATGTTTGAGAATGTAGTGAGTGAGAAATATCCTAAAGAGAAAAGAGTGAGACATTGACAATGAAAATATAGATATTTTTAAATGGGGGGATGGTGTTACTGGCCAGAATGACATGAAGTTATAGGTGACCCAACTTATTTCTGATATTATTCTAAATAATATTAAGTATATAGCCCTACAGTGCAGTTAAAGGCGTTCCTAAACCAACAAAATGCCAGTAATTTACATATGGGAAACCACCATTTTAGAAAGAATGAAAAATATAGTTTCAGAGTTAGACGGTGTGCAAATCCAAAGTAAAAAAAAAAATTGGTGCACCCAACAGTGGCCGTATATCATATGTTTCCGACGCGGTAATACTGCAACGTCCAGGGAATGATGGTAATTAATTTCTAAGATTAAGGTTTTCTGTGATGCCTCTTATTTGAAGAGTAGAGAGCATATAGCCTCGAGATAAAGTTACTTGTTAAGACAGTGACATTAAGGTTTAGTCAGTGTTTGAGATATAGTTGACATCCAGACAAGTTTAGAGAAATGGCTGTATAAACCAACAGCTTTGTTAGAAATGAGGAGTAAAAGTAAATACTGATAAGATCCAAACGTCTGACTAAATCTTGAGGTCATATTATACAAGAGCTCAGGAGTTTCCTTAATTTCTTGCATATGTCTCTCATTACTCAGTGAATAATATGTTTATTATACAGTAAGCTTCTGTAACTCTTTTTCTTGTAATATTTAGGTATTTGTAATTTGTAGATATGAAGATTAATTTGAAATTAATAGGATCTCAGTAATACTTAGGCATCCCTTTGGATGTTGAGTCACTTCGTAACAGAAGAGGTAGCATGAGAGGAGGAGGTTTTTACCCCTTGTGTCATCACAGTTTGATAGGGTTTATTATGAAGAAAAGCTATTGTCTGAAACACCATGTTGGAGGAAGATAACAATGAGTCACTTCACAAAGACTCTGGAGCTAATGGACTCATATTGTAACATTAGCTTAAACAAAAAAAAGAAAATTTTGGAATGCAGTGTGCAACAAAATCCATGTAGTGCAAGGTTTAACGGTGACTCCACAAATCTGACATTCATAGGAGGCGAGGATTGAAGTGGTTGTGAATAGATTAGTTTCAAGATGATGCCAGTCCTCGATTGTGATAGTTTGTGATCCTCATCGATAAAGTGTTGGGATGATGCTGTAGATACTCATTTGTTAGATTCTGGGAGAACACTATCTTATGATGACCTATATAGTGCAACTTATTTTGAGAGCTTGCATCTGCCCAGCAAGGCCCTGTTTGTGTTACATTTTGGTTACTGTGTGAAAATTGTCCATTCATATTTTGGCCAGGATGTCACATGAAACTTGTGTTTCATGTGATGACTAGAAAATAAATAATATCTGCTACCAATATACTCAGAAGTTCTTGTAGCACTTTGTTCCAATTCCCACTGGAAGATTAGTCTGATCCAGCTATTTGAGCAGATGATTATGGTTAGATAAGAAAAGAAAGACTTTTTATTATGATTGGTGAAGGGATGTCAGATCCAAAGACCAGTCAAAATGAAGTCTTAAAAGATTATTAAAATAGATGTGTGTTGATCTGGACATTGTACCTTAACAAAAGATATTTCAAGATAGCTTTTTATAAAGTTCAAAGTTACCGATCAATAGCACATTTTTACTAAGAAAACACAGCGTGAAGTTCCCAGTGAAAAGGTGGAGCAGACGCCCTTGAGCCCAGTGTCGGGATTGTACCTGTGCCTTCAGTCTCCCCGCGTTCTGTAGGGCCTTTGCTTCTCCTCCTCCTATTCCTTCTCCTCCTTTTCCATCTCCTTCTCCTATTCCATCTCCTCCTGCTCCTCCTTTTATCCCTTTTCATCTATTTTTTTTCTCTCTCAAAATCCCATTCCTTTGAATCTTGGTAGTTTTTGCTCCCATGCTTTCTTTTTTTTTCTCTCTCTCTTTTTCTTTTTGTTTTATTATTTTCCTTTTTCCTATTTACTCTCAGCCTTCTTCATTCATTTCCATCATAAGTTATTCATGTCTCCCTGCTTTTCATTTTCCTTCCTTAGATTTTCCTCAATAAAATTGCAGTCATGAAAAGCATACTCCTCTCTTCTCCGTAAATTTTGGGGCCTCAGTATTTTCCCATTTCCTTCTCTCTTTCTTTTAGGGTCTTTCATTCCTTCTTGTTTCTTTCTCTCCTTCTAGACTTTTTTTTCCCTTTTCTTTTTTACTTTTTGTGTTCTCATTTTGCTGGTTTCTTCTTTCTTTAGGGTCCCTTCCTTCTTTTTTTCATTGTTCATTGTTTATTTTCTAGTTCCTTTTTTCCTGTTTTTTATTTTCCTGGTTTGTTCCTTTTCCTGATATCAGGCTTTTTTCTTCTAGTTCCTGATCACCTACTTCCTTTTCCTGATTATTTTATAGATTTCCCCAATTCATCCTTTCTTTCTGGTTTCTCTTTTCTTTTTTTTCCTATTTTTTATATTCTTACTTTATTGGTTCTTCCTTTTCCTGGTATTTCCTTTCTTTTGGGTTTTGCTGTTCCTTTTTCTCATATCCTGTATTCTTAATATGTTTTCCTCGTCCCCTCATCCTTACTTTTATTTTTCTGGTTCTTAGCGGTTCCCTTCTTCTTTTTTCATGGCTCCGTCTTTTAGTGGCAATTTCTTTCTTTTGCCAGTTACTTTTATTTTCCCCTTTTCCTTCTTTCCTACTCATTTTCCGGGGTTCCTTCTTGTCTCTGGTGCTTTCCTCCTCTCTCTTTTTCCCATTTAATCCTTCTACCTGCTTATTTCCTCTCCATTTTTTCTCTTGATTTTTGTTCCTTCACCTCATTGTCTTCCCTTTATCATTGTTATATTTTTCCTCTGTTATCCACTAACACACTTCACACCCTATTGTTTAATTTATTTTTATTACTAGCCTAGGTTTTAGTTGATGTTTGTTTTCTCATCAGATTTTTAACTGATTCTATATTTGCTAGACTAGCTGCTGCATAACACTTCATTTATATATTATACAGTTGAATTTATTTTTTCCTTTCTATGATTTATTTGTTATTTCTAACTTAAGGCCTTATATGCTACATTATTCATAATAATTTATTAGAAGATCAGGTATGCACAGGAATACTAGTCTTGTTGTATTTTATTGGTTTTATTGTATTATTGTTGATGGACATTATTCAAAGGCAAATATAACTGGTTTCTCAACCTAGAATTTATTCTCATAATACTTTCTTTTTCTCCTTCTTCCATCACTGTTTTCTTTTTCTTATATGTTAACAAAAAATACAAACATGATGCATGAGACATAATTACTTTTCACAGTGAAAAAATGCATACCTAAAGAAGTGTATAATAAGATAATTAATTATATTTACTTTTTGGCTGTCACATCAACACTATACTATAAAAAATACTTTCCATCAATGTCACTGCATGTATTATCTTCAGTAAAACAGATCAAATATTGCACCATCTCCAGATTCTGTTTATAAATATGTATTTAAGATTTCAGATTTCTCTAGCAACCTTCTGTGTGCATAAGGTTTGTTTCTGAATTTCAGTTTGCTACTCAAAGTACCAGAGAAAAGAAAACCCATTATTTTATTACTAGCCTAGGTTTTAGTTGATGTTTGTTTTCTCATCAGATTTTTAACTGATTCTATATTTGCTAGACTAGCTGCTGCATAACACTTCATTTATATATTATACAGTTGAATTTATTTTTTCCTTTCTATGATTTATTTGTTATTTCTAACTTAAGGCCTTATATGCTACATTATTCATAATAATTTATTAGAAGATCAGGTATGCACAGGAATACTAGTCTTGTTGTATTTTATTGGTTTTATTGTATTATTGTTGATGGACATTATTCAAAGGCAAATATAACTGGTTTCTCAACCTAGAATTTATTCTCATAATACTTTCTTTTTCTCCTTCTTCCATCACTGTTTTCTTTTTCTTATATGTTAACAAAAAATACAAACATGATGCATGAGACATAATTACTTTTCACAGTGAAAAAATGCATACCTAAAGAAGTGTATAATAAGATAATTAATTATATTTACTTTTTGGCTGTCACATCAACACTATACTATAAAAAATACTTTCCATCAATGTCACTGCATGTATTATCTTCAGTAAAACAGATCAAATATTGCACCATCTCCAGATTCTGTTTTATAAATATGTATTTAAGATTTCAGATTTCTCTAGCAACCTTCTGTGTGCATAAGGTTTGTTTCTGAATTTCAGTTTGCTACTTCAAAGTACCAGAGAAAAGACAACCCAAATGATTTTATTCAATTTAAATGTTTCATTCTTTTTTCTCTTTCTTTTCTTTCTTTTTGGGGAAATGCAAGGCTTGTGATCTTGCTCACGGTCATCCTTCATAATTCTTGTTATATTCCTTATCCATTATTTCAGCTATTTACTAAATCTATAATCTATAATTCCTAACTTCCTTAATTTTTTTTTTCTCCAGT